ACATCTTACAGTAAGGAAGTGGGATGATATTATTTTTACTGAACTTCTTGACAAAGTTCAGACAGAGTAAAATGTCATTAATGTCCTAGTGTCTGAGGAATGGTGTCAGGTTTAATTAAACACACTGAGATGCACTGAAAGTTTCATTATATTACTTGCTGCTTTTCAGCTATGAAAGAGAAATAATGTAACACTGTGTATTAAATAAGTGTATATTTTATGTAAATGTGAAAATTAATCAATATATGCTTTAAAAGACTGGCAATTAAAAGATTATAGTTGAATGTCTCATTAGCAATATGACACCTGGCATATACATCCTGCTGTTTTACTTATGTAATACATACAATGCAATCTCAGGTTCAGTAAGTGTTCAAATTTAGGCCTAATTTGTGAAAACGCAGTAGATGCCTAGGTTTAAGGTTCCATCAGCTTTGCCATTGATCATATCTGTTTTATCTGTACAAATATAATGAATGTTTAATTTTTTTAGTAAATGGAATTGATGATTATATATTGTATATGTTCTATGTTGCAAGTGTGGAACATGCAGCTACAAAAATCGTGGAAGTTGTACAATACAAGAGGCTTATAGTATCAATTTAAAAACAGGATAGATGGCTATCAAATGAAAAGGAAAATAATACTGAGCTTCATTTTGTAACAGAACCCCTGTGGTCTTGTTCTAGGCAAACAAATTACGAACAAAGACCTTAAGGAATACGCTTAACCCCACATGGAATGAAACGCTAACATACTATGGGATCACAGATGAAGATATGATTCGTAAAACTATCAGGTAAGCCTGATACCATCCCCTTAAATGGTCATATCAGTTCTTTTCTTGTTCAATATCTTTATTTGTTTTAACAAAAAGTACAGGGATTTTTGGTTGGTTTAGAATGTTAGGAGACACCTATCAAGAGGAATGTAATACCTAAGGCTCCCAAATTGTTTTATATAAGCCATTTCATCAACTAATTTGGCTGTAAGATTTTTTTTTTTCAACAACCATGAAGAAAAAACCATTTGAGACAATTTTGCCTTTACTATGGAAATTCTAAGGGTTTAGCTTTCCCATGATTTGGCAATAGTTTCTTTGGTGACAGTAAACACATGATTAAGAAACTTGAATGTATATGTATCAATGTTTGTCAGTCTAGTAGAGCTATATATGGTAGCCATAGAGTACATATTTATTTATGATTTATTACAGGTATTTATATAGCACCGACAATTTACTCAGTGCTTTACACAGTGCACATTCACATCAGTCCTTGCCCTCAAGTGCTATTTGATACACTGAGAGGTGTAACTAGAAACCTCGGAGCCACGGTGCAAGAAAGCATGAAAGCCCCCCCACCTCGGCAGTTACCAGGGCCGGGCCCTCTTCTTTCTTTCTGGGGTCCTACCAGGTAGCGGGACGCCAGGGCCCGGTTGCACATGCGACCGCTGAAGTCTTGGTAGTCCCGCCAGTGCTGTCATTAAACACAGCACCCACCACCACTTCTCTTTGTCCAGTTTTGTCAGTCATGGAGAACAGCACCCACTATAATTTCTCTCTTCCTGGTCCTATCACACATGGAACACAGCACCCACCATTATTTCTCCCTCCCCAGTCCTGCCAGTCATTGAGTATAGAACACCACACCACTATCACTCCCTGCCTTGTCCTGTCATCACAGAAACATTACCTGCTGCCTTCCGTCCCACTGCGGCTCCCGCTGGCTGCAATCCCTGACTGAACTCAGCTGCACACTGAAGCCAGCACACCGCGTACCTGCCTGGCTCTGTCACACAGTGACTACCAATTACTTGATACGTCTTGTCAGCCGACTCTCCACTCGTAGCTCCGGTTGGAGGCTCTACAATACACACATTTTCCTGGCTGTGTTACATATGTCACACATGACTGTCTGCGATTCCATCACACTTCGTACTGTCATCACTTCCCATCCTCCCCCATTGCAGGACACAGTGGAGCTCCTTACTGTCACGAAGTCAGCTTAGAAATCCAGTCAGTGCAGAATGTACTAGGAGAAACCATGCAAGGCCCCCCCCGGGTGGCCGAACGCCAAGGCCCAGTCGCATCTGCTGCAACCCTGGTAGTTCCGCCAGTGGATACACTTTGGTCTAGAATCTAGGTGCAATAGGGCATGTCCACCATGTATGAAGAAATGTCCCTGCTTCTATGCAACCTCAGAAACAAGCTAAAGAGTAATTATGAAGCTAACTAGGAAACTTGGGACCATGTACCAGGGTGTGAGTCCTTTATTATTCATCTCAACAGCAGGAGCATTTTGTGCTAATGCCCATGTAGTGAGCTTGATTAGAGCCCTGTCTAGGTGTGCCTATATCTGATTCACATTTTTTCTGATAGGTGGGTGGCGTGTTTTTGGAATGGTCTAGTAGCATAGTGTATATTTTTGATGTAAGACCTGGGTAGTGGAGGGCATCGTTACACTGTTGTTCTAAGACAGTGAATGATTGTTGTAGCAAAGGGTATGAGCTGACTATTTGTTGGTAATGGTTAACATGTAAGTGCCTTAAAATTCCAGCGCCTCACTGCAGGTCCTGCTGTTAATGAGGTTTGTTTATTGAGGAAAGCAAACAGTACAAAGCATAAGAAAAAACAAAACAAAACTAAGACAGGAATAAAAGACCTAAGTCTCAAGGGTAAGGTCCCATCAAATGTCAAGTAAATAGGACATATAGCAAACAGATCCACTGCTAACAGAAATAACCATCCGGTAGTTAGGTTAGACTACATCAAATAGTGGTACAAAAAAGCGTTGAAAAGCATGGCTATCTATCAATCTTCATCCTGAGGGACATAGAATGACAAAAGAATACAAAGAGAAAGGCAAGAAGAATAAATGGCATTGAAAATCAGATAAAAGACAGCTCAGAAAAGTATAGAGGAAAGAAAAGAGAAAGGAAAGAAACAAGAAAAGCACCTGGGAGCCCTAAAGGGGTAGGAGGAATGAATGAAGTCACGAGTGAATTGTTACACAAACATAGCAGGATGAGCAGGAGTCAAAATGTCTCATAATTTATTTCTAAGAGTGTCAGAGGTAGAAATGTGTATCTATACTGCCCAGAAAAAGCCTCATACTTATCTGATGATCATATGCTGATCTCTGGCAGCAATGGCCAGAATCTCCTCCATATGAATAATGTAATTCATGTTTCTGTATTTATGTTTCTTACGCAAACCCACATAAATCGCCAAAAGAGCAATTTCGGGTATGGGTGTGAGGTTTGAATTTAGGGGGTATTTCAGCTCTAGACCACCAGCCAACCTAAATATTTTGGCCTTGCCTCCCAGACCAGTACTCACTTGTTAACCTGGATCTGGGGTCTAATATGAGTATTTCAACTCTTCATGGACAGAATTGCAAATTGCTTTGCAGGTAAAACAATTTATGTACAGTATTTATTATGGTATACAGTATATAGCTGTCTGCCTGAGGTTCAGCATTAAATGCACCACTAAGGGCAGAAATATGGGAATTATCATTATTTACATTATAATGTCAAGGCATTTATCCTTATTATTGCTTGCTTCACTCTCTGGTAAGCTGCTGACTGCATAAGGTTGAGTAAACATCTGCTTCACTTTGGCTGCTCTTGCTCTCATGGTGCTCCTATCCCATAGCGTAAACTGCATTAACCACTTGAAGACCAGGGTATTAAACCTTTCTGTCCAGGCCATTTTAAACCTTCCTGTCTAGACCATTTTCCAGTATTCAGCACTGTGGTACTTTGATTGACATTTATTCTGTCATGCAACACTGTACTGAAATTAATTTTATAAAATTTTTGGGGGATAGATAGAGCTTTCTTTTGGTGGTATTAAATCACCACTGGGGTATTTAATTTTTACTATATAACTAAAAAGTACCGAAAATTGTGGGGAAAAAACTGTTTTGCCTACGTTATATTATGAAACATTTATGATTACCCAAATTTTTGAGAAAAATATAAAAGATGGGGTCATGTTTGGTAAATAGACACCAAACATGTCAAGCCTTTAAATTGCGCGCGCCCGTGAAATCACAAAGAACTACCATACCCTAAATTGGCCATAGGTGACGCTTTAAAAGCTTTTACTACTCAGATCAGATTAGTGTTAACAGTGATTGATGGCCCTAGAATTATTGCTCTCACTCCGATGTTCGGAGTGCGGAGCAATGGGCACAATCGTGATTTAAATATTTTTTCTTCTTTAATTTTTTTTATTCGTGACTTTCATTTTTTTTATGATACTTTCATTTTTTTAAACTTTTTTTACACTCAACGTTATTGCTATCACAAAGGGGTTAACAAGCCCCCTATGTGATAGCCAATTTACAGTGACAGGTCCTCTTTATGGAGACAACAGGGGTCTTTAATACCTCTAATGTCACCTAGGGACACCCAAAGATGCTGATGAAGCACAGATCTGCTTCACCAGCTTCTCTCCGGCTTCTATAGCCAGGAATGACAGCTGAAAATACATAGCTTCCTGCATTCAGAGACTGGGGAGAAGATCAGAGGGAGTTTGTGTACTGATCTCCTTCTGATCTCTGGTCACAGAGCCGCTGTGTCCTGGGCCCACACCGGGTACAGCGGAGCTCGGGATTGGCGGCACAGGGGGGGGGGGTCGCACACCTACATGCAAAATACAAGTGACCAGGCGGCTCTACATCCACCGAAACACTTGTATTTAAATAGCCATCGCTGGCTGTTTGAAATTTGAGCAGTTTTCCCACTCATGCGTGCGCTGGACGATGCACACAAGTGGGGGCAAGGAAGGCCGTTTTAAAATACCCACCCACATTTAGAAGGCTCTCATCCGATCGTTTATGTATGGCTGCTGGACGGGAAGCAGTTAAAGTGACACTTAACTCAGGAGCTATATCTTAAAAATGCATTCAAGTACCTTAACTATTAACAAAAATGTATCTTATTTGTGTATCACTCAGCTGTAGATCCTCAAATCATTTCTGAATTGGTGCTGACACAGTCCTTCCTCCCAGAGGGTGGCTACTTTTGTTCCCCATGGTCCCTTTGTTTATTGTATGTTGGTTACGTGTTTAGATGAAGCGCTGAGATCTTGAGGAATGCTTTACTTGCTTAGAAGGGCATTAAATGTGAATACAGCTTTGTGGGCAAAACATATAGTTAGAAAAAACTAGAATGTGCACGGAATAAACTGAATCAACTGAATTTCGTGATATGCAGGTTCGTCTGTATCCGCGTGCACGCGTCTAGAAAAAACAGCGTCCATTGTATCATAGATAAGCATGCAGCTTAAAATACATTTAACATTAGAATTTTAGTAATATGCTGTTGCATTTTCAACATTGTAAAGTAGCCACCACTCCAAGATCACTCTTGTTATGGACTAAAATAGTTTACTAATTTGTATTGAAATTATAGTCACAGGAGCGAGGTTGGAGCGGTTGCTACTTTACAACACACACAGGGACTATGAGGAACAAAAGTAGCCACCCTCCAGAATGGTGGATAGTGTCAGCTCAGAGATGATTTGAGGATCAACAGCTGAGTGATGCACAAATAAGCTTCATTGTTGTTAATAGTTAAGGTACTTGAATTTATTTTTAACATCTCCTGAGTTTAGCAACACTTTAAAGGAAAGTAAATTAAGTTATTAAATGCTTTACAGTATATGATGTGAAAAATATAGATTTACAAGACTGTCAAGTTTTCATATGTATCTTGTGACCTTGTTTCAAGCTCTTCTGATGATGGCAGGCAAATAGCTGAATTATTAATTTACCTACAGGCTGTACA